GAGAGAGAGAGAGAGAGAGAGAGAGAGAGAGAGAGAGAGAGAGAGAGACATGTGGAGCAGACGACAAGCACACACACATACAAACTGCAGGGCCGTCATCCGTGAAGTGCTTCTTGATTTCGTTCACCAGACCCTTCATGGTCGCATTGGAACCAACCGGCAGCAAAAGCAGCATGTATGTGCAAACAGGAAGTCGATCCACAAGCCCCGCACCCTTTGATTCCCCTCCTTCTCCCTATCTGCTGAACGCCTGTCGCTCTGACGTAAGAGTTTCAAGCACATAATCCAAAAAGGGAAAAAAAAGAGGGGGGGGAACGGGAGGGGAAAGGGGACAGCATATAGAGATTGTGGATAGAAGATTAGAAATGCGATTTAAAAAATGCAGGTGGAAGGAAAGAGGATGGAGATATGGCGGATGAAGGGGTGGAGGGAAAATATGGAGGATGGAAGATGGATGCTGAAAGATGGAGTGGTGGAAGATGGAAGGAGGAAGGAGGAAGGGGAAAGGATGGAAGGAGGATTGCTGGAAAGTTGAGGGACGGAGAAATGGCAGACAGATGGATGGACGAAGCGGGAAGGGGGATGGAGGCACGAAGGTGGGTTGGGGATTGGAAGGACAAAGGGGGAATGAGAAAGCAAACAAGAAAAAAAAAAGAAAAAAAAAAGGTGTTATAATACGAGATGGTGAAACGTGGAGGATGAAGAAGGGAGAAATGGTAGTACGAGGAAGGAGGAATGGCGGGAGGAGGGAGGGAGGGAGGAACGCCGAATGGAGGGAGGAAGGTGGGAGGAGGCGGAGGGAGAAGGGCCGAAGAAGGGTGAAAGGTGGAGGGAGCGAGGAAGGACGATGACGGGAAGTGGAGGAAGAAAGGCCGAAGGAGGGACAAAGGTGGAAGGAGGGAAAAAAAGGTGGAAGGAGGAGGGAAGGATCGGCGGTGGGAAGAGGACGAAGAAAGGCAGAAGGAGAGATAAAGGTGGAAGGAGGGAAAAAGGCGGAAGGAGGGGGGAAGGATCGACGGTGGGAAGCGGAGGAAGAAAGGTAGGAGGGCGGAAGTAACGATGGTGGAAAGGCTATGATAAATGCCGGAAGAAGGGAGGAGGGAACAATGACAAGAATGTCGGGAAGGGGAGGGAAAACAGGTGGAGAGAGAGAGAGTGTTACATGCTGAAAGCCTACACACGGGCCCCTCACGGGACCCGAGGCTGGAATAGGGGCCCCAGGTCGCGTCACCGCAAACTGAAGGCCCTATGGCATTTCTACTTGGGCCTGCATCAGAAAAACGTCAGCTTTAGATTATTTTTATAGTCTTTATTTTATTTATTTGCTGCTGTTTTTCTAACGGGTGTACTGTTGTCCGTTTTGTGGCCAGGTACACGCTTCTAGGGCCAGGGCCAGATTCAGGCCCAGAGGCTGAGCTCCTAAAAACGTTTGGACCTTTTCTTTTGTTTTCGAACATATTTTGACCTGTTCGAACCCAGGCCGACGTTGAGGCCAGGTACGTCTGCACAGGACCGGTTTGAAGCCAGGTACCAGGAAGATTAATCCTGGACAGGGCCTGGACGTCCGGTAGGGACCCAGGCAGGCCGTTWTAGGCCAAGGACTGAACCAGTTTTCGAAGCCTGCGATCTGGACCGTGGATCGGAGTTTCGATCTGCACGGTCCAGAACGCAGGCCGTGGGTTTTCAGTCCTGGCCCAGCACTACTTAAGCTGGGCCATTTCCCAGTTCGGACACAGAAGGTACCAGGAGAAATCCAGTGTTATGCTGGTTCAGGAACTTGGCTGCTGCGCTATTTTGGAGACTCCCTGCTGCGCCATTTCGAGACTGCAGCTGCGCT